TGCTAGTGTGAACGGGGCTTGTGGCGGCGCCGCCACACGCTCGTGTCATGGTACTGTCTGAACGCGCGTCCACAAGTGACTTTTCTGGACCTTGAACGTGGTAGTTACCTTGCTGTCTATGGGAGGGTCAGAGAGCCCTCAGATTTCATAAAAAATATCTTAAATTGTGTTCCGAAGATGAACGAAGGTCTTACGGGTTTGGAACAACACGAGGGTGAGTAATTAATGACAGAATTTTTGGGTGAACTAAGCCTTTAACTTCATATCTATTATCATATCTATAATCAAACTTCACCAAACTTGAATTATTAGTACCAATAAAATTAGATAGATAGATAGATAGATAGATAGATAGATAGATAGATAGATAGATAGATAGATAGATATACATATCAACTGTATCTTATATTAAAGCTTTCGCGGCGAGTATGTCAGTGTTTAGATGACAGCATTACTCAGTTGACCCTATTACCTAAAAAATTCCAAACCAAAATAAGCGGATATCCAAAAAGGATTGCTCAGATGTTAGAAAAACACTGATCATGAAAGGATTTTAAAATAGAAAAGAGAAAGAAATAACAGATTCTCAGGACTTTTCAACGTGCCTTTAAGTTCCCTTCATTTGCCCCCTCGTGTCCCTCTCTCTTTTTTCCCCACCCATTGAGAGCAATGTGTATGTGAAAGAATGTCATCGTGAGACACACAGACTGCTCTCTACTGCCGTTTCCCATCTGAAAATCATGTCCAACTGTGTTGTGTCCAAATTCACAGGCTTATTGGCTGACTTACTGAATGGCACAAGCTGGGCAGTTGTCATGTCTATGAGTAAGAAGTATTTCTCATTTTCACATTTAACCTAAATTACTTAAACACTATTTTAATGTGGCTTTTTAACTAAAGACTTTCTAAAACACAAGTTACATTTAGCCTACCAGTGAGATGAACTTCTTATGCACACAAGTCAAGCAAACAAGATAACTTCAGACCCATAGCTCTCTCTAGTGTTTGCTTTACGTAAAGGCACTTTCATTAAACGTTTCCGTCACACGTAATTTTTTAGCAGTGTTTATTACTATTGCTAATTGCTAATTGAATTAAGCATTTATAAATAAGCAATCTCTTGCTCTTGTCTTCTGTCTTCTGGTTTGTATTTCTACAGCGTAAGGTAAGGTCGTACGAATTTATGAATAAACCACTCGTTTTAAAATCGTCCTGGACTGTTGATATTTGTTATGACATTCCATTGACAGATCCATTGATATTAGCAAGCTGCTTCTTAATATTTTTTAATCAGGGAATTTTAGCTAGTGTCCACTTATGATGTGCTCTGTTGGGAAGCATCTAGGGGTGTGACTCTCTGGATAAACAGTGATTTTTTTTATTCAGTTTTGGTTCATGGTTATGGATAGGACATAATTATGTAATGCATAAATACCTGACGAAAGGTCATTTTTAGCTCAACAATTACCATGTTGTTAAAAATAAATACATTTGAACACACTGTCACACACAGCTTTACTTTCATTCCTGTCCAAAAATATACATGGCGCTACTCTAAGGTCTATTTTAAGATACATACCTGATGAAAGGGAATTCTTCAGTTATATTAACAGTGTTATTGGACACTGCTATGGCATACCTGCACACAAACGAATGCAGAAAGAGTCAAATAAATAAATAAATACCAAAGAAGATATTTAAAAGAGTAAGAGAAACGTGAAGTAATACTCACACAGCCCACATCCCAATAATCCCAAACACTGCCAGGGTGACAGGAAGTAATGCCCACATCCATATGATGGACCAATCAGATCACCTGCAGAAAGACCAAGTGTCTCTTTACACATAAACGCACATTTATTAGCATGTATAAATTTGACTGTGACCTAACAAACAATTCAGTGACCGAACAGTTCCCTATAAAGTCTTCACAGGATATTCAATCATCTTAAGTGAGCCAGTTTGAAATGCAATAAGGCAAAGTGTCAAGACAGAGATCAAGACACACTCTAAAAAATGCTGGGTTGTTTCAACCCAATGTTGGGTCAAATATGGACTAACCCAACTGTTGGGTTAAAAAGTTAATTTAAAAATGTAACCAAAATTTAACCCAACAGTTGGGTTAGTCCATATTTGACCCAACATTGGGTTGAAACAACCCAGCATTTTTTAGAGTGCATGATTTGGTTCATTAATAATAATTAATACTTCAAATAACACATTTTAGATTATTACAAATGATGTATACATTTACATGTATATATGAAGCAGTAATATATTGTGTATTATGGATTATACATAAGGAACCTATATGAATCAGAACTCATAAACAGAGTTAGCAAGTATCTGCATAGATTTTTACAACCCCACCAATATAAGTTATCACAGACCCATTGTGTTTGAGAGAGTGTCGCGTTTTTTTCCACACACCTTTCCTGGTTATAGTGGTGTTGAAAGTCAACATGTATCTTATTCTTTACTAAAGAACAGAAAATGAAAAAGAGTCTTCTTACTTTTCTGACTGTTCAAATTCCCTTTCAGCGTTTTTCAAGCTGAACATCTGCCAGTTTTCCTTCAAATGGCAAAGACTGGTATGCAGATATTGAGATACGGTTTACTGCTTCACTGGGAATTAATATTACTGTCCATTTCCCATGTATTATTTTCTCAGGCCAGCAGAGTACAATGACATTCCCTTTAATTACTAAGGTTCCGCGTTTCATTACTCTTGTGGAAATGTTCCTACCACTAAAGGACATGTTTAAAATCCTGTAAAACTGTTTTCATGATAATTATTATAAAATCATTTAAATTCAGCACGCAAATGCAAAGGGTTTTGACTAAGACTAGACACCAAAGGAGTAGACACCAGCACTGAGATGTCAAACCCACAACCACTACTGCATGTCAAAAGATCCAATCATCCATTTGGGACTCTCTGGAGCACAGATACATTTCTATGAGCTCACTAAACTTGATTAAAATGTCCGTATATATAAACATTAGACATACAAAATATGATAGAGAGGTTAAAGACAACAGAAACATCACATTCAACACTGAAGTGATTTTAGCATGCCAGCTGTGGATACTGAAGCGTAATTACAGCAAAAAAAATCATTTCAAAACCGGTTTACAAAGTATTCAATTTAAGAAAATAAACATAAGATGCTAATGGAAAGAAATCTTAACTTTGAGGAAAGATCTTTAGGCAATAAAACAAGTAAAAACATGGAAAATGCGTTCAAAAGTTTAGGTTAACATAAAAAAAATATTCAGAAAAGATGCCTTAAATTTAAAAGTTCAGATCTTCTTTATCCACCAAGAGCTTGTAACACTTCAAAGAGAAAGGAAAAATTTTAAATCGCATCATATGACCCCTTTAAAAAAATTTAAAAAATGTATGTGAAGTTTCCACAAAAATATTAAGCAGCTCAACTCTTTTGCCATCAATGGAATAATTTACATTTTTAAAATAGAAAACTTTTTTTATTGTAATATTTCATAACATTACTCTTTTACTGTATTTTGGATCAAATAATGTTGCATTGGTGAGCAAAGAGACCTCAAACATAATTAAAATAGTTAAAAATCTATGACTTACCGCTCTCCATAGCCTACAATGCTTGTAGTGTGTTCCCAGAATTCACATTACCATAATGCACATATATCTCTCTCACACACACACACACACACACGCCTGCATATATTCTTTCAGATAGTGATGTATATCACTCAGAAACAGTACACCTGCTCCTTAGCTGATTGGCATGTCACCATATTCTAATTTGTTGAGATAGTGAATTGGTGGGTTTTTGTTAAATGTGAGCCAAAATCATCACAATTAAAAGAACCAAAGACTTAAATTACTTCAGTCCGTGTGCATTGAATTTATTTAATACACGAGTTTCACAATGAGTTGAATTACTGAAATAAACGAACTTTTCCACAACATTCTAATTTATTGAGATGCACCTGTATCTCATCAACCCACTGCATAAATGCACGCAGATATGGCCAAGTGTTCAAACCAAACATCAAAATGGAGACAAAATATGATCTTTGACTCTTTCTCACCATGGGATGATTCCCGATTTTCATGCACAACAGTCTCTAAAGTGTATGAGGAATGGTGGTGCATGAAAACATCCAGCGATCCCCGTTTTAATGAGTGAAATCAGAGAAGAATCACCAGACTGGTTCAAGCTGACAGTACAACAGGTTTCCATGTGTGACTATGGACTTTGAGCCAGCATCATTGATTTATAGATATACGACCACGAGTCATGTAGAGGGGTGTGAGCTTAGACTCTTTCCACTGTCTTGTACTATTTCACATTTTCCACACCCACAAGATGAATTGTGCCATGCCCATGAGTAACACCATATCACTTACACATAAGTGGATAATCTGGTTCCTCCCTCATTAGTTTTATTACAGCCAGTTAAGCCATTCATTGCCTCAGAGACCTGATCAGCTAAATACGGCCATTATTACTTTACATATCGTGAATATGTGATTAAAATACCTCAGAATACTAAAAATAAGTAGTGTTATAGTTTGTATCTATATCCTGGGTACATGGTCTAACACCCATAAAAACAACCATAACATACTAATACCAAGTTATTCTTTGAAGTACCTTTCAAATACCACATATATTAAAAGGGTAGTTATTCAAATACTATGGTATTGAGTGGTAATAATTTTTAACATGAACATTGTCATCTTTAGAAACTTTTTTTTTTTTCCCTTTCTTAAAATATGAAACATTTCTGCTGAAAAGAAAAACAGCTAAAACTAGCCTATGCTGGATGGCTGGTCTTAGCTGGTCTCCCAGTCTGTCCAAGCTGGTGTTCATCTGGTTTTAGCTGGTTGGTTGTTCAGGGTGATGAGCTAAGACCAGCCTGACCTGCTAAAGAAGTGGTCAAAACCTCTTAACCAGCTATGACCAGCTTTGGCTGGTTTCAGGGATTGAAAAGATTCCAGTTACATTTACCTTAAGTCAGTAGTCTTCTCATGCTTATTTTCCCAAATGCTGCCACGTTGCTTTTAAGGGGTAATTAGGTCATTCCCCTTCCCTCCCTCCCAGCCTCTCAAATATATTATGTCTGACGATACAGAAACATTTAAGGGTTAAAAGTTACATAATATACTTAACCTAAATCTAATACATGTTCAGCAAAGTTACTCTACATAGTTGAATTCAAATATGTAATATTTAGATTTTTATATGCGTGTGAGAGATCAACTCGTAACAATACCAGAGTAAAGGTCAAAATGTGTAAAATAATTTGTAAAAATTACATCTGACGTAAGAGAATTAAATGTCAAAATGCCACATAAAAGAGCACACAAAAGATTGAACACCTTGACATTTCTTTATTGAAATACTATTCTGATGTGTCACAGTCTCGTATGTTTGTCTCAGAGCTCTAGTTCAATCTTGACGTTCATATTACTTTTGTATGGCTCTAGAACAGGCCTGACCTCCTCAGACAAAAACCTGGTAACCTGAGACAAAGAAAAAGTGGAAAGGTATTACAGCTCACATCATTCATAAATTACGTGATAAATATTAGTTGCACAGTAGTGGAATGTTATATAGGTATTTCTAGGTTGCATGTGTACCTGTTGTGGGGCTCGGCCGACAAAGGTTTTGGGGTCCAGTAAGGCGTCCAGCTGTCCAAGTATAGGGGTGAAATATGGATCAGCCTGAACCCGAGCCAGTAGGTCATTATCCCCGCCTTCCTGTTTGACTACAGCCGCAGCTTGCTGGGACAGCACCCGAATCTTCTCATGGCAGTCGGCGTGATGACGTCATCACGCCGGATCTGGGTCAGCGCCGCCACACGCTCGTGTAGGAGGGTCAGAGAGCCCTCAAATTTCATCAAAAATATCTTAAATTGTGTTCCGAAGATGAACGAAGGTCTTACGGGTTTGGAACAACACGAGGGTGAGTAATTAATGACAGAATTTTTGGGTGAACTAACCCTTTAATATCAGCTTGTAAGACATGCGATATTTCTCATATATATAATTTATATGATATGTAGACTTATGAGCATCATGTAAACTTGTGATGTAGACTTACACTATCATTCAAACATCTGGTGTTAGTATGATTTAGTTTTTGGGGGTTTTTTTGCTTGTTTTTTAAATAAATTAATACTTTTACTCAGCAAAGGCATTAAACTGATTAAAAGTAACAGTAAAGACATTTATAATGTCACAAAAGGTTTACATTTCAAACGTTCTATAAATTAAAAAACACTTGAAAAAAGTGCCACTTTTTCCACAAAAACAGTTTTCAACATTCATATTAATATGAATGTTTCTTGAGCACCAAATATAATTATTTCTGCTGAAAATTGAGCTTTGCCATCACAGGAATAAATTACATTTAGAATATATTAAAATATAAAACAGTTACTGTTTTTACTGTATTTTGATCAAATAAAACATCGGTCCTGGAGAGCCACAGTCCTGCGGTGTTTTGCTCCAACCTTGATAAAAACTCTTGATGAGCTTGTTCAGGTGTGTTTGAATAGGGTTGGCGCAAAACTCTGCAGGTCTGATGTTGGCCATCCCTGAAATAAATGCAGCCTTATGACTTAAAAAAAAATCTTTAAAAGAAAAACCAACCCAAAACATTTGAACAGTAGTGTTTGTGCAATTAATTGTGAATTATTTGACCAAGTAACCAGCATACCATGTAGTTCATTTGAAATATACCAAATAATTGCCAGCCCTAATAAAAACTTTTAAATATTTGTTGAAAAGAGACTGGTGTGTGCACACACACACACACACACACCTTAGGATACACGACCAGCCCTTCAGTGATGTTCTGCAGAGTGCTGAGGATGATGTCCGCTGTGAGGAAGGACTCGGGCAATGAGATCCTCCTGAATACATACACAAAGGAAATCTGACACAGTAAGTTGGTGACAGAATGAGTCCAAAAGTTACATCTTCAAAGAGGCAAAACAGTGCAGTGCCACTTCATATGGTCAGACAACAGATTTGATAACAGTGCCTGTTAGCACTGTCGTCCAGGGTTCTTTCCAGCCACTGTACTGATGCTGTCTGCAGAGGGTCCGACACCAGCGCCATCAGGTGACGAGCAAGACTACAGCAGCGCTCGGCACGCATGGGGTTTCTCTTGTACGGCATGGCACTGGAACCTACAGACAGAGAAAACATGACGGATCAAAGAGGCTGAATTATTATATGATAAAAATTCAAAAACTCACCAATCTGCTCTTTTTCAAACGGCTCCTCGATCTCTTTCAGATTAGCCAACAGACGGATATCAGTGCAAATCTACAGCAAAAAATAAATAAATCATGATTGCGGAAAGGAGGTTGTTCTACTCAAACAACTGATGTTTTTTGCTGTTCTGTGATCATTGTAGACCGTTACAGCAGCTCATTTATAAATGCATAAAGCAGTGTTCACTGTTCATGTCTGACCTTGTGTACTGTGGCTCCGAGGCTGGCCAGCACACAGAGCGTGTCAATATCCACCTTACGGCTGTATGTCTGACCCGTCACCAGGTATGATCTAAAGAAAAAATGAAGGAAAAAATGATTAACCATGTGCACATACAATCATATACTATGTAGCCAACAACACTAGTGGTCGACCGATATATCGGCCAATATTTGGCATTTTTCAAATATCGGCATCGGCCGATAAGTTTTTCTGTTTGGCCGATGTGTTCGAGGCGGGACTTTCATTTTGACGTCGCTGAGAACAGCAGCGCCTGAACACACACCGCTCACATTCTCCCTCGTTCGCTGTCGTCGTTCAGTTCTGTCTAATACGGATAGAAGTCTGTCTAATAATCAGATAGAACTGTTAAACAAAGGAATTAAAATGTATACAAAAAAGTATTATAACGACTGCTTTAATATTATTAGTAATAGAAAGGCAAACATTATAATACTTTCTCATTTGCCTTCAGCATTCAGCAAATACGCATTTATATCATTTAAACAAATCTTTGAATGACTAATGAACATTTAATTTCACAAACTTAGTCGGATCCAGTTGTGAGATCTTGTGAAGTGTGCATGTGCATCCTGCATGATCGCGTGTTCTCTGCGTGACAGTCGATCCGTGCTAATTGAATGCTGACAGGATAGTTCAGCTTCACTGGAGACACGCGATCGACAAACTTTAAACTAAGTTAAGTGTTAATAAAGAATAACAATTTGGTCCCTTTGTAAATTCTCTTTGCCACCTTGAAGAATTCTCAGTTACTTAAAGTGTAGACGGCCGGGAAGTAAGAAAACACACAGTCAAATGTATCCTCAATACTTCAATTTATTCATAGAAATACAGATATTATATAGGCATATGTCGAGGGGAGTTTCATCCTCTTAACCAATGAGGATATGAATAACATACACGTAGGATCTTTGGCCAAGAACATGTGTTTATATAAAATCCACATGTACAGAAAAACATGGACATATTAGGAATAGACTTTTGCGAAGAATGCTGAACTGTCTTCAGAGTTTCTCTCGAACTCCTTTACCCTTGTAGTCCTAACATTCATGTCCTTATTGGGGCCTTTAAACCAAGAGAAGCTAATGTATACATTTAAGCATGCATACTTCGCATATAAGTAAGACATATTTAAAACATAATATCAAGAGAGAGAGATGGATACAGAAGGGGGGATTCAGAGAGAATGCGTTGTATATATAAGAATGAGAGAGAGGGAGAAAAAGGAGGGGTAAGGCATGTCTGGAATCAACAGAAAGACAGAGAGTGTTTTCTAACAGTTAGTGATTTTAAATTATGCTGCGCTTAATGCATTTGCCCACGGTCATATTCATTTCATTTTCACTGTGTGCTCTATGTAAAATTTGTGTTACCTTGGCCTTATTTGAAAAAAAAATTAAATATGCACACATATGTGCCCAATGCACACAAACTTCCCAGAATACTGAGTGCCCTGTTGGTTAGAGTGTTTACTTGCGTTTTAATTAGATTTTTATTAAATATTTATTTATGAAAAAAGCTTTGTCTTCTAAAGTATAAGTATGTTTATTTTACACAATTATTTTTAATCCATTTTCAAATGATTTCAAATTTCTTAAATATAAATTAAAATAAATACAATTATATCAGCCATCGGCTTCCCTGCTTTCCAAGATATCGGCATCGGCGGTTAAAAAACCCATATCGGTCGACCACTAAAAAACACACTATTGAATAATAGCATTTAGAAGCTAGTTGAAGCAATTAGTAAACAAAGAACGCAGAAAGTAAATAACAAGAGCGTACTTTTTAAAACCAGCCATCTCAGTGACCTTCCAATCCAACTCTTCCACCTAACAGAGAAAACAGTCCAAATTAACAACGTCAGTTCAACTATAGCATAAACCACAATGATATGATGTTTTTGCCATTTTTCTCTGCAGGCTACAAAACTGCACATTCCACAAATGTTTTAAAGCAACATAAAACCCATAAGAGTTTCATTTTAACTTAAAATTGTATTCATTACAACAAAGAAAAAAAAGTTTAAGGTCAGAAGTCTTATACTCATCAAGGCTGCATGTATTTGATCCAAAAAAATAGAGTAAAAACACCAATATTATGAAATATTACAATTTAAAAGAATGGTTTTCTATTTGAATATATTGTAAAATGTAATTTATTGCTGTGATGCAAAGCTGAATTTTCACCAGCCCTTAGTTCAGTGTCAAAAGCTACGAGAATACTTTGTGCACAAAAGAAAAAAAAAAACGACTTTATTAAACAATTCACAGATCACGCCCGATCTGTTTCCTACGTTGTTGTGATTTGATCTGAACAGAAACAGCGTATCCGTGTGACGCAGCTGACACAGAACAGCATACGCTGTTTACGTCCAGCGGATATTCTCCAAAATGGACCAGGGTGATGTGGAGGAGACGAATTGCTGAATAAAGTTGGTATTTTTTTTTCTTTTGTGCACAGAACGTATTCTCGTAGCTTCGTATAATTGCGGAGGAACCACTGATGTCACAGGGATTATTTTACAGATCTCCTTGCTACGTTTCTGGACTTCGGAACATTTCAGTTGCGTTGCTGTATATGCAGGGTCAGAAAGCTCTCAGATTCCATCAAAAATATCTTAATTTGTGTTCTGAAGATGAACGGAAGTCTTACCGGTTTGAAACAGTACAGGTGCATCTCAATAAATTAGAATGTCGTGGTGAATTACTGAAATAAATGAACTTTTCCACGACATTCAAATTTATTGAGATGCACCTGTATAATATAACAGTATAAACAATATAAATTTTTGGGTGAACTAACCCTTTAATATTTTTTGTGGAAACCTTGATTTACTTTTTTCAGGATTTTTAATAAACAAAAATCAAATAAACAGCATTCATTTGAAACAGAATATTTTTGTAACAATATAAAAAAAAGTGTTTATTGTCACTTTTAATCGATTTAATGCAACCTTGCTGAACTAAAGGTTTAACTTATTTTAAATATATATATATATATATATATTAAAAAAGTACTTACCACAAACTTTGGAATGGTAGTGTATATAGTATGTATGCTGGAGACAAGTATGAAGTAAGCCAGTGTTGAGGCATAAAATGTTCATGCTGCTGCATTCACCTTCTCATGATCCCCCTGGAAGAGCTGCAGGAAGCTGGCCTGAGTGCCTGTGGTTCCTTTGACGCCCCGGAAGCGCAGGTCCTCTCTTGCACGCTGAAGATTATGTATGTCCATGACCAGATCCTGCAGCCACAGACAAGCACGCTTCCCGACTGTAGTCAGCTGAGCTGGTCTGAGAAAAAGATGGGGACGAGGAGAGGGACAATAAAACCCAAAACCAGCCTAGTATTGTTGTTTTGAATGAAGAAAAGTTCAAAAGAACATGAAAAATCATAATGTTGTGCAGGTTACAACATTAAGATTGAATGTTTAAGGGTGATTGGGACGTGTCAGAGATGACAAGAATAGAAGACAAGGAGAAAGAAAACAAAACGGTAGAAAAGTTAATTTTATATGCACACTCTAAACATGCTTTAATGTCTAACATCTAACTATTTGTTTGTGAGGTCTGGAACATGCACTGAACTCTGAATTCACTCACTGATAATGGGTGAAGCCTAAAGTCGGCAGGTCAGCGTATTTCTCTGCAAAGTTAGCCAGCCTGTCTATGACACGAGCCAGCTATAAGAGAGAGAACTTTTACTGCAGAGAATAGGAATTATGCACTGGAAATAAAATAAACCCATCTGAAAAAAAAATAACTGAAACCTAAACAGTAATATAAAAAAAATCCAAAACTAAAATTAAAACAAAAGGACTAGAATTACCAAATGTTTTACTGAATGTAAAATTTGCATTTAATAAGACTTAATGATTAATGCATTATTTTATTATTGGATTTAATTAATTTTAAACGAAGTAAATGAATAATATTTTAAACATTTATTTGTCCATTTGAAAAGTGATGATATATTTAATACGTTACATTTAACTACTTTTTTAAAAATAAATTAAATAAACAGTTTTAAACATCTATTTATTTGTCACATCTGAGCCTGTGATTATTAACATTTCTCATGAATACAGCACAAATTTATTTTATTTTTAAATGGCACTTCTAAGCATCAGTTGTTTTGATTGACATGGGAAATATTAGAAAGTAGCAGGATACCTTGGGTAGCAGGATGTCAAATCCATCACGCAGCATTATCAGATCCTTCAGATTAAACACACACACATTTAATAAGACAATTTTCAACATTTTAAAAGAAAATTGACTTTAAAACAACATTCTGTTCTTGTGAGGATTTTTCATTGTGGCTAATATATACCTGCTATTAATTGCAACATTAAAATTAAAAATGGATTTAATTCATGTTCCCTCTATAGCCATTCTGCTCAGAAAATTCCAGAAGTCCATGGAGTTCAATCAATAGTAACAAAAGTAAGATACTGACATGGTAATATTTTGGCCTCACCGTATTGTCTCCCACATAACAGGAAGTGGCGCCCAAGTGGATGATGGGAGCAGCGGTGGGACAGCAGTGAGCAAACGTGTGCACGTGAGCCATGACATCATGCCTCAACTTCCTCTCCTCCTCTGCAGCCATGACGAAATCAATGTCCTCCAAGTGAGACTCCATCTCACTCACCTGGGCATCGGTTATGGGGAGACCCAATTCCTGCAGAGAAGACATTACAGCGATGAAGAGATGTATTGAAGCCGCGGTGAAACGGAAGTAGCAAAATATATTTTCAGTATGATCAATATTTAACTGTGCATTCTCATTTCAATTACATTTACATTACATTTAACATGTAGTGTCTGGACCAATCAGACACAATTTTTTTGAGTTATATTTAACAAATACTAACAAAACACCCCTATTATGAGGACTATGGACCCTTCCCCCAAAATGCATCTAACACCTCAGAAAGGCAGAACAGGCCTCTGGTTCCATGGCAACCAATGCTGATATCACTGGTTTTATTGGCCAAAGGAATGCGGGCAGAAAAACTCACAATTCATTTACCCTTAGGAAAGACACACAATGCCCATAAAAATTGACTCTTCTCTAATTAATTCATAGAAAAACCTTTATTTGAATGAACACACATCTCCTCAGGACATTGTGTATACTCCGTGAACACAAAAACACAACAGTCTCTTACAGTCCTCTGAGTTGAGGACTCTTCTTGTATATTTTCTTTTGAATTGTATACTGTTTTGTGTGTATGTTATGACAGATCACTAGTTAATATAGCCCCACCGATACCATGTTTGGTCTCTTTGAATTTGTCTTCTGATGATCTAAACGAGAGTGTATATTATATGTTGGTACATAGGCAATATATTAGTGTTCAAAGAATTTTTAGCAATTTTGCATCAGCACCCAATCGAGTTCCATATGCAAATTACCATGCTCTCACACAAAGGGTCATAAAACTCTCCAGTATTTCCAACCTCCCGCTTGGCATTTCAGCCTCTCTCATTGGACAAGCCCATCCTGAGAGGCGTGAATCTTCTCAGACCTTAAAAGGCTCACGCACAGTTCCGCCCATGTTTTTGTTGTTGTTCTTCTGCTAAAATTTTCTGATTGCGGCCCGTGTGGAGACCCTGAGCCGGTGCGGGCGTGCCCGGTGGGCTCCAACACTTAGTCAGTCAGTGTGCGGTTCTGTTAGATTCTGAGAAGATGAGGATGTGAGCTAGCACCCCTCTAAGGACACCCTAAGTCTGCGCCAGGCCTCGGGCCTTGACTTTCCATTCACCAAAGATCCTAGGATCTCAGCTGATGTCTCTATTAGCTCTTTTTCATTTTCCACTGGGAAGAAACTCCCAATCACCATCGAGTCTGTGAATCTTTGGAGTTCATCACTCTTCAAACCCGGAAGAAGGTGATCGCGACTCCTACACCACAAACCTCCAAACCATCAAGACTCTCATCCGAGACTGCATCCGTATGCTCGTTCCAGGCCAAGGCAATGCAAGTATCGTACATTTAACTAAACGAAACAGAGGTTTAGTATAAGCTGTAGACCCCGTTCTAAAACGGCGCTGATGGTTTCACTCAGGTGGTTAACTGACTCTTTACATAGCTTCATTCTCTGTTTTTTCCTGATGGTTTCATCCATCAAGTCTCATTTGCCCTTTCCCCTGTACGAGTGATTGTTTGTTTGACTAGTTTGTGTAAGTGTTTAGTTAATAAAACTCTTGTGCCCAAATTACATGAGTTTCTGATTCTGCCTTGCAAATTAATTGTCCCTTTACGATTTGGATCATTACTACATGCTCTAATGCATTAATACTGTATGAAAGTATTTTCTGTGGCCACGGAAATATCCTTTCCTAGAGTTGATATGAAGTTGCCTGAATGTTCGCTGGACGAACAGATTGGTTGATGGCAATTTAATTCTGCTACAGTAACTACTGGCAGCTGATATAAATAATTGTAATTAATCATAATTAACTAATTATTTATATACATTTCCCTTTTGAGCTAATTTGCTACAAACATCATCTAACACTCACGTCAAGTTAATCTTTAAAAAAGCAATTTAATAAGACAGTTAAATGTCATTTGTAGCTAATCTTAAAATAAATATAAATTTTAATATGGTAAATTTTAATCACTTGTAGCCTATATATATATATATATATATATATATATATATATATATATATATATATATATATATATATATATATATATATATATATAATAAACCGTAAAGTAATTATTTACTTATCATATTGGCCAAATTTGCAATATCAGTGCAACATTACAAATGTGTTACAGTAAACTGAAATAAGCATTTTCGCTTCATCTGTAGCAACACACAGAGAGAGGGTAAAGGTCAACCTGCAAAAGTCACTCTCCTGTTACCCTGACATTTAGATTCGTTATTTTGGAAACGCACACACACTTTCCCAGGGCTTCCGTCTACTACTGTCTGTGCCTTAGTGTGTCTCAAGGACTAGACTAGTCAAGTTCTGTGGCATGACTTCATTTCCAGAGCATGGATCATAAGAGCAGCGAACATAATCTGGTCTGTCTCCACAAATCAGAAAATGACCAGCATGTGACCACATGACTGTGTTCAATTAAGTGCCTATCAAACGGACTGTGGCCTGTTATTTATGGATTACTCGGTGATCACAGAATCTTAGTTCTTGATTTCTTAACACAAATCAAACAAACAATATGAAAGTCTACCCATCATTTCAGCTAAACCAGCAAATCCCACAGGTCTCCAGTCAATAATATCTATTTCTAATCAAGTCAGCTATTGCTAGTCTCAGCAAATGAATATCGGTTATCTGAATTTGAACTGCGGTCAAGCCAGCCGCCAAGTCGAAAAGCACGGTCAATCTAGCCGCCACGTTATTTCGAGGGTCGCGCATAAACTGCCCATTACGGTAAAACCGTCAGAGAACTGATCTGAATGCAGTGCTCCTCATCCAGCGAACGCGATTTTTTTCCCCCCAACACACAGTCAGTAACTGTCTGATGTTGAATACCAAAATAAAAGCCCTCCAATACTCATATTACAAAATAAGAGCAAGAATATATGCTTGCTGCATCTCTACATTCAAAAAACTATAAAAATAAAAGTTCGGTCTGTGCAATCTAGAACTTTTATTTTTATAGCTTTTTGAATGTGGGCACAAAACAGCATATATATGGAAGTTGTGGGGGCTCTTATTTTGTAATTCCACATCAGACAGTCCTGAAACGACGCAGCTGACACTGTGGGAAGGTGTACTCTCAATCTGAGGTGGAACTGGTCTGTGCAATCCAGAACTTTTATTTTTATAGCTTTTTGAATGTGGGCACAAAACAGCATATATATGGAAGTTGTGGGGGCTCTTATTTTGTAATTCCACATCAGACAGTCCTGAAACGACGCAGCTGACACTGTGGGAAGGTGTACTCTCAATCTGAGGTGGAACTGGTCTGTGCAATCCAGAACTTTTTATAGCTTTTTGAATGTAGACAAAACAGCATATATACGGAAGTTGTGGGGGCTCTTATTTTGTAATTCCACATCAGACAGTCCTGAAACGACGCAGCTGACACTGTGGGAAGGTGTACTCTCAATCTGAGGTGGAACTGGTCTGTGCAATCCAGAACTTTTTATAGCTTTTTGAATGTAGACAAAACAGCATATATACGGAAGTTGTGGGGGCTCTTATTTTGTAATTCCACATCAGACAGTCCTGAAACGACGCAGCTGACACTGTGGGAAGGTGTACTCTCAATCTGAGGTGGAACTGGTCTGTGCAATCCAGAACTTTTTATAGCTTTTTGAATGTAGACAAAACAGCATATATACGGAAGTTGTGGGGGCTCTTATTTTGTAATTCCACATCAGACAGTCCTGAAACGACGCAGCTGACACTGTGGGAAGGTGTACTCTCAATCTGAGGTGGAACTGGTCTGTGCAATCCAGAACTTTTTATAGCTTTTTGAATGTAGACAAAACAGCATATATACGGAAGTTGTGGGGGCTCTTATTTTGTAATTCCACATCAGACAGTCCTGAAACGACGCAGCTGACACTGTGGGAAGGTGTACTCTCAATCTGAGGTGGAACTGGTCTGTGCAATCCAGAACTTTTTATAGCTTTTTGAATGTAGACAAAACAGCATATATACGGAAGTTGTGGGGGCTCTTATTTTGTAATTCCACATCAGACAGTCCTGAAACGACGCAGCTGACACTGTGGGAAGGTGTACTCTCAATCTGAGGTGGAACTGGTCTGTGCAATCCAGAACTTTTTATAGCTTTTTGAATGTAGACAAAACAGCATATATACGGAAGTTGTGGGGGCTCTTATTTTGTAATTCCACATCAGACAGTCCTGAAACGACGCAGCTGACACTGTGGGAAGGTGTACTCTCAATCTGAGGTGGAACTGGTCTGTGCAATCCAGAACTTTTTATAGCTTTTTGAATGTAGACAAAACAGCATATATACGGAAGTTGTGGGGGCTCTTATTTTGTAATTCCACATCAGACAGTCCTGAAACGACGCAGCTGACACTGTGGGAAGGTGTACTCTCAATCTGAGGTGGAACTGGTCTGTGCAATCCAGAACTTTTTATAGCTTTTTGAATGTAGAGACGCAGCAAGCGTATATTCTTGCTCTTATTTTGTAATATGAGTATTGGAGGGCTTTTATTTTGGTATTCAACATCAGACAGTTACTGACTGTGTGTTGGGGGGAAAAAATCGCGTTCGCTGGATGAGGAGCACTGCATTCAGATCAGTTCTCTGACGGTTTTACCGTAATGGGCAGTTTATGCGCGACCCTCGAAATAACGTGGCGGCTAGATTGACCGTGCTTTTCGACTTGGCGGCTGGCTTGACCGCAGTGAATTTGAGGGGTTTCTTCTAATACTAGTCCCTACGTTATCTTCTAAATGGCTTAAGAATAGGAATTTATGGTTTGAGAAATTCAGTGACATTAACCTGACACATACAGAGCTACATTCACAAGACCTATTGAGAACTAGTTTCTAGGGGTAAAATAGAAAGATATAAATGCAAACACAAATAGCATGTAACGTTACTTGCAAATAAACATAACATGATATAGCCACCACTTACAGAGTATCAGGGTGCTGTTGTTGTCTGTTCGTGTACAGTACAGTACTATTCTCGGAAAAACTTTATAGAATGGTACATACATTTCAGTACTTTAATACTACCACCAAATACCATCAATGTACTATATATGGTCCCGCAGTACTTTGTATGGGCAGTCTGGTCCACTTGTAAAACATTAAATATTACAGCAGAACTCATGTCCACACTTTCAAACTATTTTTAGACTAAGAGAGTTGGCAACTTGAGACTTCCACTCACTCAAGGTCAAAAACTTCAGACGGAGAGAATCACAACACCAACTAAATTAATCTACAGGTAACTTAGTCTATAAAAATGAACGCAAAATAAATAAACGGACCTTTTCGGCCTTAGCGAGGTAAAGCCACAGTCTTCTCCATGTGGTGAATTTGTTTCTGTCACTGAAGTTGTAGGCCATCTCTTTGCTGGCGTACCGGGACACCAGCGGTGAGCGGTATTTCATGAACTCTTCCCCGGATCCCTCCATACCAGCAGCGGGTCAGTGAAGCGCCCTGCACCGCGAAACCAGATCACAAGTCACAACTGCAAGTCTGAGCTATTCTGTTGCAAATTCTTCTTCTTCTTCTTCTTCTTAATGTTTAACGGCGGTTGGCATCCAGCGTATTTGGTGCATTACCGCCACCATCTGCTCCGGAGTGTGGATCAGACAACAGGTTCACAGACTAATACACCCAAATTCCCTCCTTCTCCCCCAAACATACAAATCCACACACTTCATCCTTATTCTACTATATAATAATAATAATAATGATTTTAACCTTCCTCAATACTCCTTTAACCCTTCATACTCTATTAAAAACCCGTGTCCCTTAAGAAATCCATAAGAATTCTAGTCTGTGCCCTGTGTTGTGTGCTCAACAGCTCTTTTAATGTCATGTCCTGAACCTCTATCTCTCTCAACTTATTCCTCATCAACTCTCTCTGAACCTCATACCTGCTGCACCTCAAGACCACATGCTTGTGAATAATATGCTTGATTTATATACTGTTGAACTACTATATTTATAGGAATGATCTTCTCCTTTTCATTTATTTCTTTTTGTATTTGAAAGTCAATCAAAGGCATTGGAAACAACCACGGTGGAACCACTGGAATGGCTACAGAAGGATTATTTTAATATTTATTCAACCCTAATCTATCTGCCTCCTTCTTTACTGTCCAACCGAAGCTCTCTAAATCTTTATAGTCATACTCCCAACAATCTTTCAAAAGATTTTTAACTGGATGATATTCTGAGTGACCCTTTACACCAGCAAATTATTCTTCTTCTTCTTCTTTTGGTTTTATGGCGGGTTGCGAACCAACTTCATAGGTGCATACCGCCACCTACTGTGATGGAGTGTGAAGAGAATGTACCATTTCTCACCTAAATCTTAAATTCTGTTCATTATTCCACAATTCTTAAGAAATCTCGATTGCACTGATTTGTTTTCCTGCATTTGTTGCAAATTCTTCTTCTCCTTCTTCTGTTTAAAGACGGGCTGGTGGCAAAAGCACATGCCGCCACCTACTGTTCCGTTTAATGTATTGTAATATACGATTTAATGCGTTCACCGCAAGTCTAATCCATCACCATAGGACCATATAATGATCATCTTCTTCTTCTTGTAGCGTTTATTGGCGTTAGGCAAGCCAACTTTTGGTGCATTACCGCCACCAACTGAACTGGAGGGTGGAGTGACAATGAGCACGTTTACATGCATACCAGTAAGCTGATAACTCACAAATATCAGCTTATTAAAATAAACAGTTTTCCCCGTTTACATGCACATCAGTAACCTGACAGCGCAAGTAAGCTGCGTTTACATGATTTCATTATAGTATTATATACATAATAAATCAGGTTATTTCCCTGTAGTGAGGTCAAAATATAATCATTTGCGTATCTGACTCCGAGTATTCCATACATTTGTCAGTTGTGATGTTAAATTAAGCTTGCAACATGTCAACTTGCAACATATCGGATAGGGTGACCATACGTGCCATTTTCCCAGGAAGCGTCCTGGCCAGGATTTCTATATTGCCTAAAATATCTAGGTTTTGGCTTTGTTTGCTTGTGCAGACCGATCGGTGTATGACATCAAAATACCATACAGACGGTTCCTTATGCTTTCTAAATGCTCTCGAGGTATTTAGATATCATACACCGATCGGTCTGCACACGCAAACAAAGCCAAAACCTAGATATTTTAGGCAATATAGAAATCCTGCCCAGGACGCGTCCTGGGAAAATGGCACGTATGGTCACCCTAACATATTGGGAAACTTGCAGCTCATATTTTATCCTCTCATGCAGTTATAAACGCAGCATTAACTTCTACTTCTGCTGCACGAGATGAGAACAGTTTTATAATTTTCTGAGTCATTAAAAAGTCTGCTTTTGTGATATATTTCCTTCTTTCTTTACTGCAAGACGTTTGCGCGGTCTAGATCAAGCGGCAACCTCCTGCTCTCTCTCATGAAGCCAAAAAGGAAGTGACTTAAACTGTAATTCATCAACTGGCTGCAAAAAGGAGTCAATCCGACTCCCCATGTTAAAGGGGTCATATGATGCGATTTAAATTTTTCCTTTCTCTTTGGAGTGTTACAAGCTCTTGGTATATAAAGAAGATCTGTAAAGTTGCAAAGATTAAAGTCTCAAATCCAAAGAGATATTCTTTATAAAAGTTAAGAGTCAACCACGCCTACCTAAAACGGCTCGTTCTAACACGCCCCCACATGTCTACGTCACGATGTGGGAAGATTTGCATAACGCTGCCCAAATGTTCACGCAAAGAAAGAAGGTGTAACTTTTACTCTCGCTGTAGTTTTGTTGTTTCCGCTGCCATGTCGTAAAGACGCTCTGTGCTTCGTTGTAAAAGCGAAACTACTTTGTTTGGTCTTCCAAAAGAGGACGATATCTGCTTCGTCATGCCAGGGGCTGATCCGTGCTGGTTGCTGAGGAAATACTACAACTTTGCGCTGTCGATCGCCAGATCGGCTTTCACCGTGGACGAAGCGGAGTCCAGCCCGGAGTCGTCACATGTCCTTCCGGACGCTCCTTCGTCGAAATCGCCGGCCCCGCCGTTCTCAAGCCCGTGCCTCTGCTCACTCTAGCCCACAGGCCGTTCCTCACTTTATCCCCCAGCCTCGACTCACTGTAGGCCGCCGTGTGTGACGCAGTTTCATTGTGAAAGCGAAACTACTTTGTTTGGTCTTCCAAAAATGGACACGACTAGAAATCAGTGGTTAAGTTGTATTTACAACACTGTTCCAGAACAGTTCAACCCAAATATTCGGATGTGTGCAGGACATTTTATGGAGGACTGTTTCCTGATCCTGGTAGAGTAGACTACAATGCCGGCTGTTCTGACTGTGTGACTCGTTTTTTTACATTTAAAGAGTTTTTATATTTTATATATTTAAAGCAAGTTTTTGGGCAGTGTAGAGTGGGGCTTGTTGTTTGTCATTTCTCCGATCACAAATGCAGACATGGTTTTATGTTTACGTGGCGCGATGCAACGCAACGTGTAAAAAGACAGTATAAGTCATTATAATCCGTAATTATGTCTGGATAACAACCACTGGATGCAACAAATGCCTCGTTTATAATGGGTTTTCATGTTTTTGAATCATCCCTCCGGCCTGACAGGGCATCAACAATATGGCAAGGGGCGTAACATTTCCGTCACACGCTTGAGGTATTCGGCCAATCACAACGCACTGGATAGCTGGCCAATCACAGCACACCTCACTTTTTCAAACTGATGAACTTTGTAAAAATCGACACGTTTCAAAAAGGCGGGGCATAGAGGAAAAACAATAATGTACAGTATGTGGAAAATAATGTGTTTTTTTAACCTTAAACCACTTAAACACATTTCATTACACCAAATACACAAAATACTGTTCTTTTTAGCAGCATCATATAACCCCTTTAAAATGCCCAACTTTACAGCAGAAAAAAAACATATTTACAGTCTGGTTCAAAAAATTTTAATTTTATAATTTTGCCCTTCATGACAACTGTGAGGGGGGTGATTTTTATATTATATTAAGCCTTAAAGTTCTGCATAATTAAGGGCGTGGCCACTTGAGTGACAGGTGGATTGCCGCTGCTGTCACCACCGTCGAGCTAGGTGGGCGTGGCTTCAGCAACCTGCTCCCGCCTCTTTGCCCATTTTCGATTATCTGGGAGTGACGCGGGGTGATGCGCTGCCAAGATGGCGACGGCCGCCTCCGCCCACTTTTGAGCTTCAAAAACACTCTTCGGAAATCTATGGGTGAGGTCACGGACACTACGTCCATGTTTTTATACAATCTATGGTCTAGATGCGCTTAAAGTCCACACGAAATCAAAATTTACTTTATTTACTTTACTAGCGCACATTGCTAGTCTTGATGTAAACAATTAATCCGTGCAAGTTAATCCGCTGAAAAAAAAATTTTGTCTTCGTAATCTTTAAATCAAAATCTGAACATTTACTTCTACTCTGGAATGGCATTCCTTTTCTGATGACGTCAGTTTGACGGCTTGGGCAGAATATCCTTAAACACACCCTTCTAACCGTTAGGTTGCTATGAGTGAGAGACAGAGAGGAGGAGCGCAAACATAAAACCATGCCCTCTATTCAATATTCCGTTTCAGCTGGAAATACGTCACTACACTGAAATAAAGTCGGCAGCAACTTCCGGTTCACGCAGACTTTACAATGCGTTCCTGTCACGTATCACACATGCGCTCTTCAATAAGCCGACAGAAAGCGGGTTATTGCGTTTAAATGCTGTGCGAAATCAGAGTAAGAGGCAAAAAACTGTTGCGACCGGTTTATGCTTACGCCGTTTATGACCTTATTCCGATAAAAGAAAATGGGTTACATGACCAAGTGCGTTTTCGGCTTATTAAGCATAATCGGCTTAAGAACGTGCATGTAAACGCGCTCAATGAGAAGGCTTTATATAAAAAATAATAATATATACAATTATTCCTTATATTCTCATGCAGATTCCCATGTCTATTAGATAACTTAGTATCATTCTTCTGAATTTTCTATTACCTAATTGTAACGGGTACTTATGCCAGTCTTGATAGGGGTTAAATATCCTGTGGCTCTGGATGAATGGTGACAAAGGATCTTTGTCCTTGTCTCCAAATTCAATACGTTCCGTACTATTCTGATTAATATTTCTGGGCTAAAATGAGGAGGGCTCCAGGCTTTATATTGTCACGGGCCTAACCTGGAGTTTATAGCACATATGAGAAAGCCCTAAACCAGGGTTCCTCAAATCTTGCCCTGGAGGGCCAATGCGCTGCAGAGTTTAGCTCCAACCCTGATCAAACTCACCTACCTGTGATTTTCTAATGATCCTGAAGACATTGATTAGCATGCTCATGTGTGTTTGATTAGAGTTAGAGCTAAACTCTGCAGGAAAGTGGATCTCGTGGGCCAGATTTGAGGATCCCTGCCCTAAATCATCAAATATCTCCCCAACCTCACAATGTCCTGCAGCATAGAAGGGAACGCTCCTACCACAGAACCAACAATCGCCTAAAGTCAAATTACCAGCAGTAACAAGCAGACGAATATTCACGAAGTAAGCTGACTGGTTCAGAATCAACTATTTAATTTCTGGAAATCAAAAATTAAAAGAAAGTTTTAGTCATCTTAACCTGAAATCTGGAAAATCAGTAAGAGAAAATAAACACTGAATAAACAATTATAAACTGAGAAATTAATGACAAATGTATCAAAGATACAACCCTTGGGCCCTTTTAAGTAAACGGTGTATACACAATTAGGGCTAATTCAGCTTTTTTTCCACAGTTTGGAATAAACACTCCAAGAGAACATTTCAGAAAACAAACAACAAAAAATATCTTTAACACAATTACATGGTGTATTTCACCCTATTCAAATTAACATTCCTGCATTTCCTTAAAAAACTATTTTCGAAACTCACAGGCTGCTGAATTAGGCTGTATTTTCAATTCTCTTAAATTCAACGCAGTCCACTTGTAAAACAGTTCAAATGTGTAACAATTTGAAAAGTCTCAAAGCAATCTCTCCCGATCGTTCAAACTTCTTTGCTTTTACCCCTTAATCCGTAGGTTTCTGATGGAATAAGGAAACATCTTACTCGAGTCGAATCCTGCAATGTTATTCGATGGCAGGGTAAACTTATGTGCCCCCCGAAAGGCGCTGATGTGGAGGGTAAATCCACTCACGATCTTCTCCTTTTTCTTCCCGCGACTCACTCCGAATCCCGGGAAAAGTCAATGAAATGAAAACACGCAAGTCATACAAGTTGTTGTAACTCCAGTCTTAGCATTTGCTCGACAATAACATTCAGTTGCTCGTTAGTATAACTGTTACGGTTAACAGCTGTTCAGTCATGCACAACTCACATACGTAATTGCTTCTTCTGACCTTCTTTTCCTCTGCACACACCTAAATGTTGGGACCCGCACCTTTTCTTTGGTTACATAGTTTTAATGTCATATTATTTGCACCTTCTGATTGTATCTTTGTTTCCAGCATTGCTCTCTCTTTACTATACTCTACACTGTAATAAAATATGCTCAAATGTTTCAATTTCACCACAAAATCTACATAATCCAGAAGGCTGTTTCCTGATTTTATGTACATTTCCATTTAGAGATGGATGTCCTAATCTTAATCTTGCTATTATTACTTCTTCTCTGGAATGGCCCAGTCTTAATTAAGACCTCTTCCTTCCTATTCCTCCCCCACATAGTTTTTTTTAGTATCTGTTTCTTAATTTTATTCAAATATCTTCCCTTGATATCTATATTCCAGATTCCTTGCCACTCTTTTGTAATATTCTTTTTAATGATTTATTTTACTTCTTCTTTACCTAAAGGTACATTAATATTTAGCCTATTTCTTTCCTTTTTCTTCTTCTTTTACTTGGCATTTTTAGCCAAATCATCAGCTATTTCATTTCCAAGTATCCCTATATGTGCAGATACTCAGAATCCTATTAAAACTCATTTCCTCTGTATACGCCATAATAAGATATATATCTCATTCAGTAGATCTTCTCTAGAAGACTGATGGCTGGATCCAGGATGAAGCTTACAAGATTTGTGACAGTTCTGATATAGGAACGGCACAGAGCTCCACCACATCTAGGCACAGTGGAGGTTTGATGCCATCTAGTGTTTCTGGTTTTAGGTTCTTAATTTCTTTGAAAAAGTGGCACTGCAAGATAATATACAGATAATTGAGAGAAATAAATGCTTTATGCGTATGGATGTTATTTAACAGAAAATATGTATGCTCCATATGTTTTATTAAATATGTTTCTAGCATTTCACAGAGATATCTAAAACAAAGTTTAAATGAAATTGGATATAGCATCTCTAACAAGACTCTTTGTTAATGTCTTATTTAAAGAGATGGTTTTCTCACTGGCTCAAAACGGTTCACTCTCAAGTCTCCTTTGTATAGTGCCGTTAGGCTTTTGACATTTTATTATTGGCCCAAGTAATTTAACAGATTCAATGCTCGACAACAGTCCAGAGTTTTTAATGTTCTAACAATTTTTGGCTAAATTTTATATTCACAAAGCAAGAGCTTCCTTTGTGCACTACTTTTTGTCACATAGATCATAATGTGTATTGAAACCCTTTCAAACCCTTAAAACACAGAATCCTAGACTTTACAACTTGTAAAGCGTTTCAAATTTGTGTAATTTTATGTTTAATTGTTTTTATTTATTCTAATATTTTTACATTTTTGTTATTATATAAATATTGCTTTATTTATCTTATTTTATACTCACCAGACTGCTGTATAAAATAAAAATACCTTTTCTGTTTTAATTTATGACATTTTATAGTTTTGTTTTGGTGTCCCTTGCTCTAGAGTTTCAGTGCTGCTGGGTTTAGGTCATACTACAGAATTAGGTAGGTGGGGCAAAACTTGATACTTCCATGTTTTCATTGGTCTAATGACAGACTTTGCTCCACCCCCAAAATTACTATGTATTACTACCCAAGAATTGTGGGAGGCTGCTTACTGTAAAATATTTGTCAAACTCAGCCCATTCAATCTCATAAGATTACAATCACAAGCCACATATTTTTGTACTCACTTCCCTCCTTGCATCCCACTTTTCTCTACTTGCGAGGGTGTAGTATAATAAAAAAAAATAGTTGAAGAGGGAGGGAAAGAGAGTAGGAGGGAGATGAGAGGGCAGAAAGACATGTTTTGAGCACAGGCAACTGGCTGCTGAGACTAAACAGCAAGAGAGAGAGAGAGAGAGAGCAAGAGGGGGAGAAAGAGAGCGAGGTAAGGAGACAACGCTCCAGCTAGACACAAGATGGCTACAGTCTCTTCCGATTTAAATGCTGGTAAGTAACATTAAACTTTTACTTCAATTCATCTTACTAGTTTGTCGGACAGACATTCACTTTCAAATCCCACCTACACACACACACACAGCTGACTCACTTCCCTTCTGCATTACATGCGCTTCCTGTGTCTCAGGGGCTTTCTAATGCAGACTGGAAAGTTTTGGCTGTATCTAGATCAGTTTGTCATCATACAAAGGCAGATGCCCACACAAAAGTCCTTCATTCTGATCCTGGATCAGAATTAGAATGAGATCATAAGGATAATGGTTAGGGTTAATGCAGCATTGCTGGAACTGTTATCATGTGCTGAATTGTACCAAAGCTAACAGGGACAGGGCATAGATGACTGAACTCATGCAGAAAATAGAGGATCTGGTAGCAGAGAATAGACAGGAACCTTTCTTACCCATCAAAATATGTGTTATTTTCTGATCATAGGACTGCTTATGATTAAGGCTATGTAGTCCAGGACTACAATTTCAATTTATATACTTGGAATTGGTTTGATAAGGGTTAGAGCTAAACTCTGGCAAGGACATTGGCACTCCAGGACCGACGTTGCCTACCCCTGGTGTACATGGTGTCGGTGTTGTGGATGTCATCAGTATGGATTGAACTGTAAGTAGTTTCAATCACTCGCCATATCATTTTCTGTTTCATCTCTGTTTCTCGAAAGCAGAGGACTCTTCTCTACCTGCCCGGCGCCTCCTGTTGCTGGGGTTCCAGGGCTCCGGTAAGACCTCAACTCTGAATACCATCTTGAGCCAGGAGAAAAACCCTCCCAACAATTCCCAAACAGACCAACAACACTGGGTAGACATACTCACCTGGCGGCTACTAATCATTGACAGCCCTGGATGGAAGCTGGAAACTGAAAGTACAACTGACGAGTCGGACTCAGAGAATCAGCAGTCCATCACTGATCAATGTTCTCCTGGTCCTCATGCACTGCTGCTGGTGGTTCCCATTGGAGTTCCGTTCACTGAACACCACTGGCAAGGTCTTTGGGCCCGAGTTCAGGCACTGGGAGCCGGGATATGGAGGCACACAATGGTTTTGTTCACCTGTGCGGACCAGTTGCCACAAGACATGGGTGTGGAGAAATGTATTGTGGATGGCGGGGCAGCGCTGCAGAGGCTGGTGGAGAGGTGTGGCTGTAGGTACCATGCCTTGGATAACACCTGCTCGGACAAAAGTGCTCAGGTTGCAGAGCTTTTGCAGAAAGTGGAGGAGATGGTGCAGGAGAATCAAGGCTGGTTCTTTGAAATGGTGCGGCCAAGCCTTGGATTTGGGGATGAAGACACTGAAAATGAAAGAGAAGAGGATAGAGGTACAGAAGTGGAAAGGACAGCAGCAATGTTTAGATCCCCACCAAGAGGTGAGTTCCTGTCTATTTCATTCTCTTTTACCTTTGGTTTGGTGGTACCATTGCAGAATGTCTCCTTAGGTCATGTAAAATGCATTTTGATCATGTGAAGTTCCTTTTCACAATTTCCCACTTTCTCCATTTTAACAGAGTTACGAGTGTTGTTAGTAGGCTGGCGTGGAGCAGGAAAGAGCTCTGCAGGAAATCTTCTACTGGGTTGTCGTGTGTTTGAATCAGGACGCCCCACTGAGGTGTCTGTCTGTCATCAAGCATTGGTTGCTGGTCGGCGCCTCACGGTTGTCGACACACCAGGCTGGGATTGGTTCTCTGTCCAGCGCACACCAAGCAACATACGAAAAGAAATCAAACTAGGGGCAGGGCTTCTACATCCTGGTCCACATGCACTCTTATTGGTCATCCCCGTAGTCTCCACCCTCACTCCCAAAAAGAGACAGGCCCTTAAGAGCCACTTGGAAATGTTTGGCGAGGAGGCTTGTCAGCACACACTGGTGCTGTTTTCATGTGGAGATTGGCTGTATGGCACATCAATTGAGGATCACATCCAGCGGGATGGAGGCGAGCTGCTGAAACTGATGCAACATTGCTGGAACTGTTACCATGTTCTGGACTGTACCAAAGCCAGCAAGGACAGGTCACAGGTGACTGAACTCTTGTGGAAAATAGAGGAGATGGTAGCAGAGAATGGAGAGAAACCTTTCTTACCAGTCAAATGTAAGTGTTTTAGATTCCATAATTTTATAATAATGGCTTTCACATCGGGTTACATATTAATTTGTTCATGTGAATATAATTCATGTATATATAAACCTAATCATTGCATCCTTGTTCTACAGTGAACCAAGAATTAGACGAGGAGGAAACGAGTGGAAGATGCATTCTGCAGTGAAGAATAAGGTGACATAACATGCTAATCTTAGAGGAATGTAAAAGTTATCCAATTGTTTATTACCCATAAGGCCATTCACACTGTTTTGCCAAAGTCATATTAACAGAATGTAAACTGAATTTGAACTGGACATTACACTGCTTTTTAACTTCATGGTTCTACTTATGTTAACATCCTTCAGCATACATAGAGGTACAAACTAGATTTCTGACTCCTTAAGAATTCGTCACTGGACATTCACCTTTGCTAGAAGCATGTAGCACTTCCTGACATAATATTTTTTACTTGTTTCATTCTGATCCTGAGCTACTGATACCACAAATAACAATAATTCTCAATAATCAAATATTGATACTCTTGCCAAATGCATGCACTGGTTTCAATGATGATTATTTAGTGTTATGTAAAACGCATGGTGGCAACAAACAGACTAAATGGCCTAAAGGATTCTATCCATTTCCCCACTGTATGGCAGGACTCTCATGGCCGGTATTGTACAGTATTTATACAACCTGGTAGTTTTCCATGCACATTCAAACAATGTAAAATAATATTTAGTAAAACTGCATTTTACAAAGTTGTAATCGTAGTTATTTACATGTAGTTTGAATATACTCACTGTACTGCCATAAAGTCTACTACATGGGATTGTGTGCGCCTAAAATAGAGCTGGATTCTCAAGTATACAATTGTTCTATAGACTGAACTGAATGTGCAATTGAGCACCTTAAGAACATTCAGGGTTTCTTTTTGATATGATTGGTAACTAATACAGAGGACATGATACTTACGACTGTGATATCAACATTGTATTCTACCTAAACACATATTTAACAATGTGTGTTGAGCATTCAGGGCATGGCTGTTACTATTGCATAATAATATTGATCATGTCTGCAAATTTTTTGGCACATGGTAATATGCAATGAATTCTCAAGTGCTTGGGCAAACATTTTAGCCTCAAAAGTGGTTCAACTGAAGACACCCAAATGACTAAAGAATTTAGCTTTTGAATGCTTTTCACTTCATATTAATAAAGAACTTTACAGTGAAATTGCCATACTCAGTGGTGCTTTTCATGTCAAATACAACTACAAGTTTAAAATTTCTAGATTTGTGAAAACCTTTGAACTGAAAATAAATTTGAAACCAAAACCCCTCATTTATTTTCTGCCAACAATACAGTTGACAAAAGACTGTCATGAACACTGATTTATGCCATTAGTATAGTGGAAATTGCCTTGGACTAAATATATATACTCACTTCATTCTACATCCCCAAAAAATCCATATCACATGACCTACCTATAGATTGTGAATAGTTATCTACAACATTGTTAACTACTATAGCTAATTTCTGCTCCAGTTTCATCATGAAAGGACACATGAAATGCATACAAATGTCTTTTTAAATGTTTATCACACAAATAACTTTCAAGATAGTTGGTAAGCGGTGAAATGCCCATAAAAGTTCCATACATAATCTAATAAGTGCACACCATACCATTTCTATGAATAAAGACAATAGGAAAGTTTAAATTGTGAGTATTTACACGGCACAATTTCAATTAAGAAATGTCAAGACGGACAAAATCAACAATACACAATGCACTGCTATATATAATACTGTGCATACAATAAAGATAAACAAGATAAAAAAAAACACTTGTAAAAGTATATCAGGCTTTACCGATAGCTGTCATGCTAAAAGGAAACTGTTTCTACTAAGACACTGGGGAACTGAATATTTATTCAACCCTTCAAGAAATACTTATATTTAGGACCAACATCCCTAGTATTCTGCACTTCAGGCTATGCTGAAACAGTCCATTTCTCTCAGCTTCAAGCCTCTGTCCATTTCTTTCTATGACCTCATATTCCTACTCTCTCTTGCCCTCCTGACTTCATTAATCAGCTCTTTCAGATAATGAATCTCTTTAGTGAGTGATTCTGCTTTCTCCACCAGCTCTTGATTCCTCTCCTCTAGAGCTGCAGACTCTGACTGGAGGACGTCTTGCTCTGCACGCTTCTTCTGTCGGTAGCGGGTCGCCGCAGTCTTGTTCTGCTCCATTTTCTTCAGCTTCTTCTCGACCACAACCTTTGAGCCACTGGCTGACTTCACTCTTCCTGTGAGGGCAGGTGACTCAGACTGCTGACTTTGGGTGGGCTTAGAATCAGGTGTAGGGTATGGCTTCACCCTGTAAGATCGAGACTGGGAAGAGGCTGGGGTTTGTGGGTCGGGAGAGGCTGGCCTTGGGGAATTATCCACAACCACTTTACCTGGATGGGTTGCCATCACATTAGCCTCCTCTTTGGGAGCAAGGACAAGAACTATGTGGTTTGGGGAGAGGGACAGGACAATTTTGGGCACCTGCATCTCAACGGGGGTTGGACTCTGAACTTCAGCTATGTCCACCTCGCAACCAAGCTCAAGAGTGTCAGTAGGGGACTCGGGTGGAAGGATGGAAGGAGATGGGACTGGGGAGGCCGGTTCAGACTTTATATCGAGCTCGGTCTGGGGCTCAGGGACTACAGGGGAGGAATCTGACACTTCACAGGGTGTTGAGGGAACAAATGGAGTACAAACTGGAATATTCAAAGTGAATGAAAGGCTGGAAAGTTGATCAATTTCAGGGACAATCGCTGGGGGAGAGGGTGAAGGGTTACGGTCAGAAGCTACAGGCTGGGACTCCAGGTCTATCTGTGACTCCAGAGAAGCAATGAGTTCCTCAGGAGAACTGGGTGGATCCTCAGAATCATAGGAGCCAATCAAAGACTCCAGATCAAACTCACTCAGATCAATTCGCTCCGTCATCCAATCCATTTCACTGAATGAATGATCTGAAACAAAAAAAACATTAAACAACTGAATGCTTAAACAAGAGCACTGAAGGTATATTCTGAATACATTGCAACACCTTACCATTACCACTGTCTGCGCCACCATTATCTAGGCACAGCTCATCCGAGGGGAAACACGACAGGGCCTTCTCCCCCCTCTGAGGGAAGGGAGGCGTGCAGGGTGGGGAGAGAGAGGGAAGTGGAGAGGAAGAGAAAGATGAAAGGGGCGATTCAGCGCCTCCGAGAGGAAGAACCTCCTCATCTTTATCTAGGAAGAACCCAAGAGGGTCAGCCATCGGTGATGATGGGTCCCAAAGAAGGACTTCCATATCGTCCGGGCCAAACCGTGAGCTCATCAAAGACATGGCTGTCTATTTCAAGTGGAATCAGAGAGTCTTCTACTGAGAATTCAAATAATTTCGTGCTGTCAGGAACAGCAAAGGTCAGAGTTGCCACAAGGGACCTGCAAAAAGAGATGAAAAGTAGTTAATCTTTTAAATAACAATAAAAGCAAATTTAAATGATAATTGTAAACAATCAAATATGAAAGCTTTTAAGCAAGGGGAAAACATACTCAGTTATTACTGATGCACAATGACATCATCTGCCCACACCCTACACCTATATCACTTACAGTCAGCAGACTAGGTTCTATTTATAAACGCTCAACTCCAATTTATCAGAAGCACAAGCTCACTGGTTTTCAAAAATATTAAAATGAACTGAAAATGTCATTTTTGTTCAAAGACACTGGGACGCCCTACTGTTGTAACGTTACTAAAGACACCGCCATTTCAGGGCTCGCCGCTCCCCTTTCAGGAACGTGCGCCATTTTACAGAGAAGACGCGACGACAAAGAAAAGTCAAATAAACTGCCTCAACTCGTGTTAATTTGAGTAAAACATTATCATGTTTATTAGAAATGCATCCTCTATAGACAATAGAGACATTATGGTACATTTTAAAACAGACATGACTACAAAACCATCGACTGATGTGGTCTCTGCCGGGCAGACACATGGCGCGCTAAGCTCGAGACGGTTGTCATGACATTATTCGCACGGAAAACATTTTCCTAAATCTATTAAAAATAATAAATCCCCTATATATCTGTAAGGCGCACAAGAAATAGTACAAAACATTTATGGTCATAAGGATGATAACTTCAATGGTACAACTCCCGCCTCGCCGGCTGTCTAAACGACAAGACACTGTGAGACTAAAACAATTAAATGTATACTTACGCCATTTTGCAATAAATGTACTGAGGCAGTGCACTATGTTGATGCACTGAGGAGTTTGCGCGCTGTCTACAGGCACAGATCACACGGCCATTTCGGCGAAAAGCACAATCGCTCGGATAACAACAACAAATCAGAGAGAAGAGGAACAGATCTGCGGGTGATGACGTCGCGTTCACGTTTATATAGGGCCGCGGTGCAGCTCAGCTGTATCCGTCCGCCAGAGCGCTTTGTTTTGTGTTACTGGGCGCAGACAGCATATAGATCCCTTGTGTTAGTCAATTTATATCATGATTAGTATCAAAAATAACTATTAAAACTTCTCATATCTATTCAAATATATTTTGTGATATTTAGGAGCCTTTTTGATTATGTCAAATGAGGAAAAAATAATGATATTGGCATTGGACAGAGTATTGTAAAGATATAATCAGAGCCCGACTGATATCAAATGGATATCAACATTATATGTCTATCAGTCGATAGATTGACAAACAAATGTGTCGTGATTCGTCAGCACAACGTCTATCAAAACAAACATGAACGCATGAGTCATTTCAGGGAAGGTTGTCCACATTCCCCGTATGTAGTGTTGGCTCCATCGCTCTCTGCTGGACGAAAATTAAACTAGTTTAGTCTCAGTTGTGTTTACGGGAATTATTGTTTTGGGGGGAAGAAAAGACCATTGCTCTTGGTGGAACAAACTGAATAAAAGGACGAAAGAGGCTGTATTAAGCTTAGGTAGAAACAAAAGAGAATTGGAACAGCCAGTCAGTACAAGCAGGAATATGTGTAGTTGTTTACATATAGGTTTAGTGATCCTGTTTCAATGATGCATATGAAAAACACAGAAAGATAGACTACACGATAAAAGACAGCTCCCATCTTGAATGCATTCATTTATTTTCTAGAGATGTATATTTAAAAACAACACGTGATTTTGTTCAAATTTCAAGTTCAACTCCCAGCTAAGCCAACTATTTCATTAGGCAGTGTACAAATATTTGACAATTTCTTTCAACATAAAAAACACAATAATCAAAATGGAAAAGCCCCACCATGTTCAGATTAAATTTTATATACGATGTACAATATCAAGCAAGCAACACAGGCACATCTATTTAAAACAGATATTTTGGTCTAGTTGGTGGTCAAAAGCTATAACGTCACATTCAGACACTTCTACCTTTTTTTTTTTTAAATAATGATAATAACAATATTTTATATAATTACAATATATTATACATTTTGAATAAACATCTCTCTATGATCTTTTAATATAGTAGCATATTATTGCTGGTAATATCCCTATTGAATCGAAAGTGCTGTAGCTGCAATTGTAGTTTTCGCTATATAAAATAGAGGAAACTAGAATAATCAAAACATTACTGATATCTTGTGCTGATATATGATTGATTTGATTCTCTCTCAGTGGATTTCTCTTGGCTAAACATTTGCTAACTGTCAGCCTTTCATCAGACGACCACAATGCAGTCCTGCCGTGCGTATCTGTGAAGAAACCTGATCTTTAGGTTTGTGCCTGTCTTTGTTCTCAAACATTAGTATAGATCTGTCACTAATTCAGCGGTCCTTTTCTAGCTTCAGGCTCAACCTCGGGTGATTGTAAACTACAGAGGACATCAATGGAAGAGTGCTGCATAGGCCAAGGCCCTCTTGAGCTGCTTCATGCACAGTGACTCTATGTTTACACAGTGACTCTATTTTCCACTTTTATTAGTCGTTGTTTCTGCCTCAGGGAACATGTCAGGGTTTTCTGCTAGCGTAGAGCGGATTCGCTTCTTCTCTTTAAACCGGCCCGAATGTGAGACTTTCACATGGCGTCCCTTTGTCGCCGTTTTATCCACGATGCGTTCCAAGCGGGCATTAAACTGGCTGTCCGCAGCTGCGTCGGGTGTCCCGGGCGTCTCCCCGGCGTTGCTGCTGTGGTCTCCAGGGATTTCGTACAACACTTTCGGCTCCGATTTCTTCTTACGCAGGAAAGTCAGTTTCCACCAGGCTGGTGCAGGCTCTGCGGTCGCCATTTAGATGAAAACAGACTTGGATAGCTCTGCAAGCGGGACAGAATGAGAGAGTGTTATATTTTTGACTAAACACCAAACAGTAGGCCTAAATAAGAAAAGGAACTATAAACATACTGTTTTTTGTTACTTTTGAACACGAGTAATAAGAATAGTCAGAATGTGTAAGCTGAGCCCTGAGGGTGTGAGCTAATGCTAATGTAAGATCTGTGTCTTACATTATAAGGGGCAGCCGCTAATGAATTTTTTAGTGTAATTTAGTAAGCACCATATGGTAGAGGTATGCCTAGTAGAGCTTCGGTTACAAGCCTCAAATTTCACACACTATATGTAGCCCTGAGGGTGTGAGCTAATGCTAATGTAAGATCTGTGTCTTACATTATAAGGGGCAGCCGCTAATGAATTTTTTAGTGTAATTCAGTACGCACCATATGGTAGAGGTATGCCTAGTAGAGCTTCGGTTACAAGCCTCAAATTTCACACACTATATGCAAGGAGGATGGAAATGCTAAGTGTAGACCATGCTAATGTTAAACGATAGAGTGCTTACTAGGCTATAGCTTATTTTATTTTCATGTATTGGTTTATGAGTTAATAATATTGATGATTTACGCCATGGTTCAAAAGTTTGGGGTAGTAAATGTATTTATGCTCACTCAAAAATACAGTAAAAACATCAATCTTGTGAAACATTAACAATTAAAATAACTGTTTTCTGTTTTATTTTAAAATGTAATGTATTTCTTTTGACACAAAGCTGAATTTTCAGCATCATTACTCCAGTCTTCAGTGCCACATGATCCTTCAGAAATCATTCTAATATGCTGATTTGCTGCTGAAGTAACATTTATTATTATTATTATTATTATTATTATGCTGAAAACAGTTGTGCTGATTAACATTTTTGTGGAAACCCTGATACTTTTTTCCAGGATACTTTGATGAATATAAAGTTTAAAATAACAGAATTTATTTAAAATATAAATTCTTTGTAACAATGTAAAAGTATTTTTTGTCACTTTTCATCATTTTAATGTGTCCTTGATGAATAAATACATTAATTTAAATACTGACTCCAAACTTTTAAACGATAATGTACATTTGTACTTCAATATACAGTATATAAAACTGTATATGTCACTATTTATAATTTTTTTAATGGACCTAATAATGTGGCAAAATATCAAATTGAGCTGAAATTTGCTGCTGAAGTAACATTTATTATTATTATTATTATTATTATGCTGAAAACAGTTGTGCTGATTAACATTTTTGTGGAAACACTGATACTTTTTTCCAGGATACTTTGATGAATATAAAGTTTAAAATAACAGAATTTATTTAAAATATAAATTCTTTGTAACAATGTAAAAATATTTTTTGTCACTTTTCATCATTTTAATGTGTCCTTGATGAATAAATACATTAATTTAAATACTGACTCCAAACTTTTAAACGATAATGTACATTTGTACTTCAATATACAGTATATAAAACTGTATATGTCACTATTTATAATTTTTTTAATGGACCTAATAATGTGGCAAAATATCAAATTGAGCTGAAAGAACATTCGTATTAGCCAAAATATTTCATAAACATGTATGAGCCTAATTCTGCAGAAATTTGTAAAGCTTTTTTTATCCACAGTCTCCATGCAGGCCACAAACTGAATTCATTATTATATCTGACCTCTTGGACTTCACTTCTCAGGTCTCAATGATGCAGCTGGTTTCATTTCAGCCATAATGTTCAGAGTGTTGTTGCTTTGCTCACACTACAAATGGATTTTACATGATTCATTCATTCACTCACGTGATTTTAAATGACCCATTCACATGTTAAGAGTTCACAGTCCAGAGTGCATTTAAGGTTGGTTCATACACAAGCTAGAATGGCTGCTTTGAAATAAACCATTACAATAAAAGCAAGCATCCAGTATACATGGCGGAACACTGTCCAAATGAAACTGCTTCACTGTCCATTATCATATCTCGAACTGAATCAGCCTTCTGTGAAATGTGAAAATCAACTCCCACACTCAGATTCACTCAAAACTGCTGTAGCGTGTGGCATTATCCATTCACAGGAAAGGCTTGGCTCTGTTGCTTAGCAACAGAGTGGTCATTTTCATACAGTATGCTAATTTCTGCTCGCTCTCTCAGGGCTTTATGACTCTTGCTGCTGCTTTTATGTTTACGAGAGCAAACAAAGATCAGGTGGTGCTGGTCAGCTCCTTTTCAACCTCACAGCCTTGTTTTTTCACCGCTTTTAACCTTATAAAAGGAGGGCCTTTTATTCGGATGGTTTTAACAATAAAGCATATTTCATTACACTGGACAAAAAAAATGGTGTAGGATTTGCTTTGAAACTATTTTCAGTCAGAAATTACTAATAAATTTAACAAATAATTAGTTTTGAAGTAGAATGACTGAAAACTTTGAAAAATTAATTTTTTTACAATTCTATTTTTGAAAACGAGTAGCCTATGCATGCTGTAAAAGTATTTGGTTTCAGAAACACACAGCGTCTCCCTGACATGGCTGCTTCAACACTAACTGCGGTTACTGAAACCACGCCTTCTTTCTTTGCGTGCACATTTGGGCGGCATTATGCTAATATTTCCACATAGTGAGGTAGATATGTGGGGGCGTGTTAGAACGAGCCGTTTTAGGGGGGCGTGGCAGAGTCTTAACTTTGATAAAGAATATCTCTTTGGTTTTGAGACTTTAGTCTTTGCAACTTCAGGGATCTTATCTATGCACAATCAGCTTGTAACACTCCAAAGAGAAAGGAAAACTTGAAATCGCATCATATGACCCCTTTAATAAAGTGATGTCAACACTTACTAAACTGCATACAGTCTTTTTTTTGTGTGTGTGCAAATTTATATCTTGCAACTGTAGTTCAAATTGTGATTTCTAATACAAACACAGATTTTGAAACGTTCTGTAATATTAATGCACCCCAATGCACTAATATTAGGCATGGGGAATATTATGGTTTCGCCAGGATTTGGATAAGGAAGATTTCTCTTTGCATTGGATAAGGAAGATTTTCTTTTGCCAGGGGAACTTTTAGGCAAAGCACATGGGCTTACGCACTTCATGCTGTTATGCATGTGGTTTTCATATAAAGATAAAAATAATGATAAGGGTTAATGAACTCATTGTTCAGAAGGAAAAGCCAGTGCTTTTCCGGAAACATGTCAATGGCCATCAGGAACGTTCTGTGTGCTGATTATTCGAGGATTTGATAAGATTGACAGATCTCGATAATGTATGAAAACAATTACTTTGGAAAATCAAACTTCTGATTTGTCTTGTCACGCGAATTTTGGACAGCGTTAATTACTTGCAAAAGCATTTCAATTTATTACAGGCATCACAATAATAACGACACAAAGTACATTTAGTTTCAACAGAAGCTCCCACGAGAAATCGAAATCTCTGTAGACATCTTGATTAATTAATTATTCCTGTCGGTTGGTTGGAAAAAACATCAGGTGTTAACTGGAGGTCCTCAGGGCTTCGCCCCGGGAACAGTCACACTCTGAGAGAGTTGTGGTACATAATGAGTAAAAGTAGAGCAAAAGACAGGATTGTGGTAATCAGAAGAACTGCAGGAAAAATTTTCTTGTGTTTGACCCTTCTTGCAGGCCCAAAACATGTATTGGTCTGTATCTGTTGTTTTACACTCACACCCTTTAGAAATAAGCACCTGTTTCTAAAGAGTGTAAGACTGGAATAACAATAAAAATAAAGGCATACCCCACCAATACACAAAAAGGAAATTGGTCCCAAGTTTCCCAAGAAGAAAATTTTGCTGCTCAGAAGTTACTCTTTGAAAGTTTGGGAGACCATTTGTTGATCTAAATGATCAAAGTGGTCTCAGATGTTTCTCCAAAGATTCATTGAGAAATAACAAATATACACATAAATGACAGTTGCTGATCTATCCCAGCGGGCACCTTGATATCCATTTGACGTCAAATATTAGTCAAGACTTGATCAAGATGCTGTAACGTCATTTTAAATTCAGTATGGACAGCAATTTCTTCCAGTGATAATTGAGTGAAAATAGGAAGTTAATCCCACACTGAAATTGGTTTAATGGGGCAAAAACGGCATCCATGGGAGTGTTCCAAGGCAAAAGCCACTGCTGACCAAAAAGAACACAAAGGCTCGTCTCTCATTTGCCAAAAAATATCTTGATTATCCCCAAGACTTTTGGGCAAATATTCTGTGGACTGATGAGACAAAAGTTTAACTTTTTGGAAGGTGTGTGTCCCGTTACATCTGGCGTAAAACCCACACAGCATTTCATCAAAAGAACATCATACCAACAGTCAAACATGGTGGTGGTAATGTGATGGTCTGGGGCTGCCTTGCAGCTTCTGGACCTGGATAACTTGCCGTAATTGACGGAACCATGAATTCTGCACTCTATCAGAAAATCCTGAAGGAGAATGTCCGGCCATCAGTTTGTGACCTCAAGCTCAAGCGCACTTGGGTTATGCAGCAGGACAATGATTCCAAACACACCAGCAAGTCCACCTCTGAATGGCTCAAGAAAAACTAAATTAAGGTTTTGGAGTGGCCAAATCAAAGTTCGGACTTAAATCCGATTGAGATGCTTAAACAGTCCATTCATGCTCGAAAACCCTCCAGTGTGGCTTAATTAAAACAATTCTGCAAAGAAGAGTGGGCCAAATTCCTCCACAGCGATGTGAAAGACTCATTGCCAGTTATCGCAAACACTTGATTGCAGTCGTTGCTGCAAAGCGTGGCACAACCAGTTATTAGATTTAGGGGGCAATTACTTTTTCACGTAGGGCCAGGCAGGTTTGGACAGCTTTTTTTCCTTAATAAAATAAATAATCATTTAAAAACTGCATTTTGTATTTACTTGCATTATCTTTGTGTAATATTAAAATTAGTTTGATGATCTGAATCTTTTAAGTGTGACAAATATGCAAACAATGTAAAAAACAGGAAGGAGGC